CCTGCTGTGCGAACTCGCACTTGTCGCGGTTTGCTTTGTACTTGGCCTGTCGTAGCCGCTCCAAAACGGTGCGCAGGTGTTCCACATGCTCGTCCAGACTCCGGCTGTAAACCAGAATATCGTCGAGGTAGATAAGTACGAAACGATCCAGCATGTGTCGGAACTCCGTCGTCATAGCCGCTTGGAAAGTGGTTGGGGCATTCGTAAGGCCAAATGGCATGACCAGCCATTCGAAATGCCCATACCGWGTCTTGAACGCGGTCTTGTAGCGATCCTCCTTGTGAATCTCGAGTTGGTGGTACCCTGACTTGAGATCCAGCTTAGAGAAGAACTAGGCGCCGCCCAATCGCTCGAGAAGGTCGTCGATGCGTTGGAGAGGGCCGGCTTTCCTGATCGTCTGCGCGTTGAGCTTGCGATAATCGATGCACAACCGCAGGTCCTTGTTCTTCTTCCGGACGAAGAGAACAGGAGCACCGTATGGCGATGAGCTAGGCCGAATCCAGCCTTTCTCTAGAAGGTCGTCGAGTTGTGCTCGAAGCACACTTAACTCTTCCTCGCTCATTCGGTAGATGCAACCGCGTGGAGGTACGACCCCGTCCTTGAGGATGATCTCGTGGCGGATGGGTCAATCCGGTACTACTCCATGCGGGCCTTCGAACACGTCGCTGTAGGCGTCGAGAAGTTCGTGATGCGTGGATCCGAAGGTGAGTCCGTCGATGAAGCGTCATGGGGCGGGAGGGCGTGGAGAAAACACACCCCCATCTCCTCGATGTCGTCTCTGATGATGGAAGCTCGCATGCTTGCGGCGGATACCACGTGGCAGCTGATCGAGGGATGAGGAAGAGGCACCGTGCATGGAACTAATACTCCGTTCCGGTCACGAACGTGAACGGTGCGGTTGAAGAAGTTCACCGGGTGATCCTTGCTTCGTAGCCATGACATGCCCAAGATCATGTCGAATTTGGTGTCCAGAATATCAAAGGACACCGCCTCACTTGCGTGAGGGGCAAAGTACGTTGGGACGGCGTCAATGCACCGGTCGATGGACTTGTGCGTATGACCGTTTGCCAGGGTGACTTGCGTAGGCTGGGACTTCCTCCGGACACGTGGGACAAGGCCGGCGCGTACCATGAAGTCCTGGCTGATGTAGTTGCGAGATGCTCCGCAATCGATCAAGGCACTGCAGGTCGCCTCTCCGATCTGAATGCGTAYGTATAGCAATGGTGCGTCGATGTCGTCGTACCGTTGCGTCTTGAACTCGCGGTCGATCTTCGCAATGTAAACGTGAAGGTCGACAACCTCTGCTCCGGCGTCCATCAACGGAGCTGGTACTGCAGTGTGCAAGTAGTCCCGCAATTGTGCCATAAGCACGTTGCAATGTGGTTTCGGCAATCGTCCGGTCAAGGGAACGGGCATCCACTGGAAGTCCGTAAACCTCAACGGGTCAAGCTCATCAAGTCTTGACCATGACGTCGAATCCCCGGTGATAGATTGCGGCGAAGCTGCCGAATCGGTTGCCAATGGTGATGAAACCGTGCATGCGGTGGACTATTGCACGTGGAGCGGTTGGTCCAGCGATGGAACCAAGTGGACATCATAGTCCTCGTAAGTGTACCGAGGACTTGCGACATTCGCATCCTCCCCAGATGTGCAGGAGGCCGCTAGCAAGGCGGCCGAATCTGGCGGATTAGAAGGTGGAGTCGCCTCACCTTCCGCAGAGCTCAGTTTCCCAAGCTGAGGCGGGGTCGCACATCCTCCTTGCCCTGATCTTGGCACAGGGAGGTCTTGTGCTTGGTGCTGTTGCACCAATAGCAGCTGCCGTAGCGGCCGCGGACCTTGTACTCCGCCTCGGTCAAGCCAAACTTGACCCATGGAAATTGTCCTGGCTGTCCATTTCCGGCCTGCGATGCGGATTTCGCCTTCCCATTGTTGCGGGACTTGTCGGTGCTTCGCGGCTGGACAGCAGCCACCTGATCTCCGTCACTTGATGCTGGAGTGGCTATTGGGTTATCTCCACTGTCCTGCTGGACTGCAGCGAAGTGCTGCTGTCGCGGACCAGTTCGTACCTTCTCCACATAGGTCGGCTGCCATGATGTTGATTTCTCGTGTGCAGTTGACCTGTTGGTCTTGATGATCGCCCTCGCTTTGTCAATGATCTCCGCGAAGGTTGAGTACTGCTCGCGATCACCAAGAGCCTGGCTCAATGCAGCACAGGACCTGTTGTAGAACTCACGGCGTAGATGCTCGAACGGTAAGTTCAAATTGGGCACAACCGCAATCTTCTGCCACTCCGTGAGCCAGTCCCGTGTTGTTGTGTTGCCCTGTGACATGGTGAACAGTCGGTTAATGGCGAGTGCTGGCGCGTCGTCGACGATGAACCGCTTCTTCCACAGCCGTGTCAGTTCCTCCCATGTGATTGCGTCCTTCAAGTCTGGTAGATCGACGCCGTGGGAGGTTGCCAGGTGGGTCAACCAGGTCTGGCATCTGCCCTTTGAGTTCAGGAACAGGGCACCGATGTACGCATGCTTGTCTACGGGCAGAATCCTGAGTTGCGTTGTGAATGCTTCCCACCAGAGGACCGGATTCTGCTGCGTGTAGTCGTCGAACCTCTCCAGAGTGAACGTTGGCATCTTATACATCTTCGGATTGCCATTTGCGTTCATCGTCTGTAGCTGCTGGACCTCGGTCTTCAATGTATGCAGCTGTCTGCTGATGGTGGTGGTCGGCGCAGCGAAAGTGCTGGTGTCGCCAAGCATTGCCACTACGTGGTCAACGCGGTCCTCCAGTTGGCGGCTAGAGGGTGCACTGCTGGAAGCCCCAGCAGGTGGTCCTGGTACAGCCTGTTCCAGGTCCAACAATCGGGCATTGAGTGCCCGAGTTGCATCCTCGTGGCCCTACACGGTGCGGCGGAGCGTTGCCAACTCCTGATGCTGTTGCGTCAGGTCCCGGTACTGTCTCTCCAACTCTGACCKTTGGTAGTTGCAAGCATACAACAACCGCGTCACGAGTTTGGAGAGGAACTCCTTGTGCTTCTCTTCCGGTGTTGCCTCGTCGCCGTTCGGTTCAAAATGCTAGTACTTGAGTCTGTCGATGCTGTTGGCTTCATGTCGCTGCAGCAGATCCTGGGCTTCCTTGCGGCGAGCCTGGGCATCTGCGTCTGCATCGGCCTGTAGCCGCAGCTGTTCTGCTTCTGCTGCCTCTTCAGCCTGTACGCGGGCAGCCTCGGCTGCCAGCACGCGTTGTTCCTCAGCCTCAATCTGAGCGTGGAAACGCTGCTTGTAGGCGGCAAGGGACTCGTTGGGCAGTTGCCCTGGCAGGCCCGTCATGTTGCTGACGTGGCACTGCTGATGTGGCACTGCTTACATGGCACTGTGTCTGACATGGCACTGCTGATGTGGCACTGCTTACGTGGCACTGTGTCTGACATCACTGCTGACGTGGCACTGTACCGAACCG